AGAGCATCAGCAAATCAGATTCAATCACGACCGTCAGTCCCATTTCCGTAATTAAATCCAACCAGTAAGGGTAATAATCCTCAATCCTAAAAACCCCTCATTAGAAGCACAGCATATCAGTATTGGGACCCACACACTGTTTGTCTGAATGCATGACCAATAATAAAGTACTTGAAATGGTAAAAATCTAATTATTTAAAGTCTCCCCTATCAAGTCTTAATTAAATATTAATTCCAAGATTAATTGATTTAATTAGTATTTTAGGGGATTGTCCACATTTTTAGAATAATGTTATTCATCCTCGTTGAAATTGAGCACCAGTTCCAGTGGTAACACTTTATATGTTCAATTAAATGAATTATGCGACTTTACATTTAAATGAATATATCATCATGCAATTGTCACATAAATTAGTGTTCAATTCCGATATGAATGAATATCACTACTCTTTTTTTTTTACAAGTAAATCAAAAGCCTAATTACATATACATACACATATAGATACAATTAGCACGTAGATTACCGTTCGATAAAGCAAATTACATAGTACAAGATAGTATTAATTAAGATTACAAGAGGTGGTTGGTGAAAATGATTAAATATTATCGAACAATATTTAAAAATAAGTACTTGAAATCTTGTTTATTATTTTGTTTACTCTCGTATAATATTACGTGCTATATATGCACGAACAGTAATAATCAAACTTGAACGATCTAATAATTTTGAGCTTTACAGAAATGCGAACTATTTAAGGATTTGTTTGACAAGCTTTTGAAAAGTTGAAAATTATTTTGAAGAACAAATAGAAGAATTTTTAAAGGAAATTGACTTAATAAAATTTTCAGAAAGTCTTCTACAATAAGTATAAGTAATACTGTTTAGCTGACCTGCTATAATCAATGAATTTCCATATAAAATCATAAATCATACTATATTTATATAGGTGGACAGTTTTTTTATATTATCATTAAATTTTCATTAATATCTGCACCAAAAAGCAAGGAAAGAATCTAGAAATGCTCATTTCTTTTCATTTCATCAAAATCCCAGTAATATTACTGTATCACGAGAGAGAGATAGTGATATAAAGAGAGAAATTGAAGAGAAAAGGCAGAGAATATAAAGGACCAGATGTTGACAAATTTTACGTCGTTGTTCTTACAAGGTCATTTGTTTTTGTGGAGATTTCGTATGTAGGATCTCTCTCTTTCTCATTTTCTTGAAAATTAATTATAATTATATAATTAGAAAAATATATACATACACTTGAAAAAGAATCCTTTTTTTCTTCATTCTCTCTCTAAAAGTAGTTGCTTCCTTTTTTTTTTCCGCTATAAATAGAGAGAGAGGCCCAGCAGATCGAAATCTCCAATGTTTTGTTCAGTTTAAGAAGGATCCCAGCTTGTTCAATGAAGTTTACAAGCAATTGTCTTTATTTTTTATTTCCTTTTATTTGACTATTATTGTTATTATTACTTTGAAATTTATATGTTTTGGCTACTTTTTATTGGTTTTCTTTTTCACTAGTGGCCTATAGTGTTAAAGACTTTGAATTTCACATTATTCTGAGTTAATATAGATACTGTGGGATGATTCAATCTACAAGGGGTTCTTGAGCACTGATTCCAGGATGTGGGTCTGAGGTATTTATCATTTTATTCATTTTCTGACTTTTTTTTTTCAAGATTTTATTGGATTTTGACTATGACCCAGGAGATGATAAGTCTTGTTTTTCCCTTTTAATTTTGCTCATGAGTAATTGTCTGATTATAGGAATTGTAATTGTTCTTAAAATGACCACTGTTTGAATTTTTTTAATGATTGATTTTAATTGCTTGGATAATTAAATTTATGCATTTTCTTTCTTAAAAGTCTCATATACTCTGGGTTTTTTCCTTTGTTCTTCAATAGATAAAATCGTAAACTGCAAACGGGTGCTTAATTTGATGAGTTTCAACTTAGGATGCACTTGAATTTTGTTTCTATAAATTCACTATTGTGGTGCAAAAAGATTGCAGCTCTGTTGGATGTATGTCTTTCTGGTTATTTGCTTGTTTGTAGCATATCTTAAAATCTCTGTATTTTTTCAACTGTAATTGTGTTAGTCCAAGAGTGTTAGAATCAGCCTTAATATTTTAAACTAAATTTGTTCGGGGGATTGATTAAGTTTCCTAAGTTAGAACCCCAGACGTCATTATCAAAATATTCAAAACATGCTACAGTCCATCCATTTGATCTGTATGTTATGTTGTCTTGAATTTTATAGGCCCTAAGCCGTCTTTTTTATTTGTAGAAGAGCATTTGAGTAAATGCCTAGGTTTTGTCATCTTACTCGAGCGTTCACAAATAGACATACAAGGTCAGTTCCTCTAGTTCTCCCTGCTTCTTTGAGATGTGATTTTTGGCAATGAAATTTGCGAGCTACAGGCTCCTTTTTTTATATATATAATTCAAGATTAGAAAAATTAGGCGATGATGAATAAAAGAACTCTTGATTTGAGGTTTCATTTATTAGTGTGCTCGTTCTACTTGGTTATTTAATTTTATTAGCTGATGTGAAAATGACGACCTATGTAGGTGCAGTAAGTAATTCTGTTGGTTGGGGTGTCTTATGAGAAATTATTAAATCTGTTGGATTGCTTTTGTCATGAGATAAAAAATTGAACCCCCTTAATTTACTTAGACACGTGTAGCGTACATGCGCCTGACTTTTGTATATCGTATCTGTTCATTATCAAAAGTAACATTTATTATTGCGGTCGTTGGATTTCGACAATATGAGCTGGATGAGTGTAATCTAGTCAGAATTTAGAAAATATTCAACGCGTTATTATCTATTTCTTAAATGAGTAGCATGCCATTAATTGATTTTTCCATTTGCTTACAAACAATTAAATCTGACCTTGTATATAAACAAAGAAGCTCATGGAGCTATAGTTTCACATATCCACCAGCTGTGTACAATAAAAAGTAGAGTCTTCTCCATCTTTTGTTTCATCGGTAAAGAAAAACTATTCTCTTTATGGAGAGAAAGTAAGCCGTGTTTCCTTCTTCCTCAATCAGTGAAGGTAGTGCTTGGATTTCTTTTTAATGTTGTCGCGTGAACTCTGAGGTCCATGCATGTAAGAAGCAGCTGTTATCCCACATGAAGACACACATTTTATTTTCTTTCTACCCACTTCATCAGCTCTATGTTCATTCCATCGTTAGATCTGCAGTTATATGTAAGTTGCTTATTTTCGCTATAATTATTCTTTTCTCTTATAATGTTTACTCATATCAAAGTATTTTGAATGTAAATCTTGCATCGGTGTCCTTCCTAACATATTGAACTAGAATTTTATTTCCTAAAGCTGTAATGGAAACTGTGGGATGTTTCAAATAATTTGAATCATGTGAGACATCAGATATGATGATTCCCACTTTTCTTTTCCTTTTAACGCTTTATTTAGTTCTGTCTTTTCTTGGTAAAATCATGAGCTAAAACATCAAAAGAGTTGGTAATGTCAATGAATTTGGTTGGTCAAATTGCAGAAACCAAAAGAGATGAATTTGTACGGTGTATGCTGTAATCTAATTGCATGGTGACCTTCTATTATATTACCGGATTTAACTTTAAAAGAGAGTTAGAAATTCTGAACTTCTCGAAAAGTCCATCGAATAAGTTGTGGAGGGTAAAATTGGAAATTCTGATTTTCGTCGCAATTTCGACCTTATCTTTTTCTTGCATGAACTTTTGATTTTATAATCAGAAAAATGCCCCTCAGCTCTTAATTTGCCCAAGAAAAGAAATGTTATTTTTATCTTTCTATTTTTTTCCCTTGGAGATAGAGGGACTCTCATCTTTTGATGAAGAGGTGGATTGGTTTTTTGTGATTTTCTGGTTCATTGGATATTTTGGTAATTGTATTAGGCCATCTTTCTTGTATTAGAAAACCATATTACGTAACTTTTTCTTCCTTCTATGTATGTTTAGTTGGCATGCCAGATTATCTTTGTTTTCTATTCAATAACTTGGCATAATGTTGCCAAGACTTCCGTTCAACATTCTAATGTCTGTAGCTGTGTCAGTTGGAAAAGTGAGTAATTGCTGGTGAATTTCAGTTGATAGAAAATTACTGCAAATTCTGAGCTATAATATTTTATTTTGAAATCTTGTTTATTTAATTCCCTTAATCAAATTTGGTTTTTAGTTCATATCTAAAGCCTTTGAAGACAAGGTAGAACTCAAGTGAACAACAATATGGCAGGGTGCAACTGAAAGTTCCAGTGTAAAGGCAAATGTCAATTATGTTATTTGAGGTCTATTTTAAGTTGCTAGGTTTGTTACCTAAAAGGTAGTAGTCTCACATATGCTAAGAAATTGGTTTTCAAGTTAGTCAGCATTGTTAAATGTTGGAAGCTAGCTCCCAATTTTTTTTTTCTTATATTTAGTGCAACACGTAAATTATGGATATAACAATATACTAGCATAATTTGATGTGAAAGAGAAAGATCCTTTTTTGGATATTGTTTTCTTGTTAGGGCTGTGGTGGATGTGGTTTTGTCACGGAAAGTGTTGCCAAACTTGAGGTGAAAAACAATTTGCTTCGCTTTTGAATTCTAGGTCAATCGTGATGTTAAAAATGTTAGTTTATTTATTTTTTTTCTGTCCTCGGGATAATTTTGTGGTACTGCTGTTCAAATTCATAGGTTTATGAAACAAGGGGATAATACATGGCTTATTCTTTCTATTAGTATTGCATGATAAATGGTTCCTAGCTCTTGGTAGTTAAAAAATAAAAAATAAAAAATGGATTTTATATATGATCACAGCTTGATATTAATATCGTTTCATGGCTTTTTCTTGTCGAGATTTCTTTGTTATTTTCATTAATATTGAAACTTGTACTCATGCTGAGTAGTAGGACATCTTATTACCTGCAAGTGATCTTACTTAATTAATATCGTTTCACATTGACACAATTATTTTACCATTCAAATCTTCTCTGCAGGAATGGGAACAAAAGTGCATTGCAAAAGCTACTTGCCGGGATATTACTCCATGAGGGACCTTAACGAGGATTCTAGCAGTAGTAGCTGGCCGCTGTTTTATGGCGACGAGAACTTAACAAGTGGGCAATATTACAATGGTTTCATGCCAAGGACTATAACAGATCGATGTCTAGAACATGATAAGGATGCATTAAAGCAGAAAATGCTAGAACATGAGACAATCTTCAAGAATCAGGTACTTTGAGTATATGTTTTCTGTCATGCCTCTCATTCTAAGACATTCACTTCGTTCACTTCTCCTCAATTAAGTTCTCAGTTCACATATTTGGCTTAGCTTAAAAAGTTAACTTACAAGTAAATAAGTAAGTTTCTAAATAATTAGTTATTTATTGGTGAAAGTTGGAAATAAACAAGTTATTTGTTTTGACACTAAAGTAAGATTTACTTTCAAAAAAGTAAAATGCTTAAACATGTTTGGAGACAAAAGAATTACTTAAGACTAACGTTATTTTTTTTAAGCTTAGTCAAACATGCTCATGTCTGTAAAATGGAGTCCTTTTTATACTTTAATGATCCAATGATGTCGCAGAGCTCGATTATTTGAACCTTCACTTTCATCCAGGTTCATGAGCTCCACCGTCTTTACAGAATTCAAAGGGATATGATGGAAGAAATCAAAAGAAAGGAACTACACAAACATCAGGCTTCCATTGAACCATCATCGTCATCAAATCTTCAGGGATCTCAGATGCCAACAAAAGATGCTCGAGATTGGCATATGCAAGGCATTTCTTTGTTGAATTCTGGTTATGGTAGAGTATCAATGTCAAGATTTGAAATTGTTAATTCTCCTGTGAGTTGTACAAAAGGGAACGACACACAGGCTGGTCCTTTTCAGTTCCAAGATGGGTGTACTTCAAAGGATTCTGATGCATTAGATTCTAGACCCTCCAAGGTGAGGAAGAAGTTATTTGATCTTGAACTTCCGGCCGATGAGTACATGCATACAGAAGAAGGGGAACAGTTACCGGACCAAAAAGTATCCGGAATGTTGAGTTACGTTTCTAATGGAGATCCAAAAATAGAACCCCAGAGCAGTATGAAGATTTCCCTTGGTGATGGTGGGATGACTGATTTCCGTAGAGACGTTTCAGCTTCAGGTTCCCATTTAAGGGGCTCTGCTGGGTTGGCTGATCTAAACGAACCCATTCAGATTGAAGAAGTAACAGCTCCATCATCAATTGGTTTTATTGGTAATACTGCCAGCTGTGGAGCGACTAAAGGTATAAATCAGTTTGCTAAAGGAAATCCAGGAGTTTTTGGTGTACCAGGAGAAACCATACATTCCCATAATGGATCTTTGATAAATTCATCTATTGAGAGTAAGGGCAACGAGAGGGGGTGGCTCTCCCATATATATGAAGCAGGTAAAATTTTTGGTGAAGTTCCTTGAAAGTCTATAATTTATTCATTATTTTTGTTCACTTCTTTTCTATCTCCATGTCTGTTAAATTTTATGCTGTGTAGAATCAAATTCCTTTTTGCATCACTAAGTTTTAACTAGATTAGAGACTATTGAAATCCTTATTTTATTCACACTGTACAAGATAATCACTTAGTGACCACCTCTACACTCGATTTTAAGCACTGAAAACTCTCGAGTAATAATTTCTCTCTTTGAAGTGATGGTTTTATGAACTTCCTATCTTTCAACAGGGACCAGTAAATATAACCCAACTTCTGTAACTCAAGGGCTCCAACAAAATAAATCGCCGATACCTTGTCAGTCAGCACAGGTCATGCTCAACCAGGTTCACCATCGTCCAGGAATATATCCAACAGTTTATAGTAGAGAAGATCTGTGGAGAGATGAACCCAACCGTGATCACTCCAGTTATAGCAATTTAGAACCAAATGCGGCTTCACATACCCGTGGGCCATACCCGTCGATTAATTCTACAGGGTTTGCCAATTTATGGTCTCACTCCATCTCGTCTTGGACAAAGCCAACAAATAGCTCTACTCAAAAGTTGACCACATTTCAACCATCTTCCAGTTCAGCTTCAGGTTTGCATCCGTATGCGCAGAGCCAGGAAACTTTTGGAGACAAGTGGAAGGTCAATGTTAGTTCTAGGTTGAATCTGGGTTCTGGAAATGATTTAACAAAACGTAACGGATTTCATCACGGGTCTACCTCAGGATCCAAAGAATTGCCGGGCTTTGATTATCTTAACTGCAGTAGGGATAATAAAGTAACATCTGACCGTTCAACTAATCCGGGGTTCGCGAAGTTTCTGAGTGGCTCCAGCCATGTAGATCTAAAACCTGCAATAGATATTAACTTGAACGAGTTACTTCCGAAGAACTCATCAAGTGAGGCAGTTCCTCTGCATGATCCCACGGATGGAAAAATAATGCCTGATGACCAACAGATGGCTTTGCCTTGGCTTAAACCCAAGCCGGCATATAAAAATGAGGTTGTGAATACTAGGGGATCAGAACTCTCGGGGGACTTGGGCTGCTTCCAAGCTTCTTCCCGTTGCAAGACTGAAGTAGTGAGTGATCTTAATCAAATGTTCATGCCAAACATCATGTTGGCTCCTAGTGATCTCGAGAATGGGGCTAAAAATAAAATAAGCGAGACTCAGAATGTCAAGAAAATTTTCGGGTTTCCCATTTTTGAGCCCAATGCTCGTAACATTGAGTCATCAGACCGTGTTTCCACCTTGACAACTCTTGATTCCCCTCCCGAAGGGAAAAGGGTCAAAGATGGAAGGAAAAACAGAATGATTGACATTAATCTTGCTTGTGAGTCTGATGAGCCGATTACTACAGAAGAACTGATTGCGGAGAAGGAAATGCGTACAGAAGCTACAGGTATCAGACATCACATTGATTTGAACTCTTCAATTAGTGAGGATGAAGATCCACCAGCACCCTCTACTGCAAGCAACAATGGTTGTGTGAAGATAATCTTGGACATAGATCTGGAAGTCCCTGTTCTTCTGGACAGTGAGGATGATAATACACCGTCCAATGAAAATATACAACATGAGGCCTCATTACAGCCACTGGAACATGAACCCGGAAAAATACAGGATGAAGTTCTTAGGAATGCTGCAGAAACAATATTTTCTATCTCAACATCTTGTCATCGAATTCCCATGGACGATGGCATTTGCCATCCATCTGATACATCCTATTCAGATTCTCTCATCTGGTTTGTCAATGTTGTATCATCACTTGCAGACGAGCTTCAGAGTAAATCTGGCGAAGAATCAAGAGTTGGGGATCCTGCACCATTTTGTGAGAAGATGGACGAGTTTGAGGCTATGGCATTGCAACTAACAGAGACAAAAGAAGAAGACTACATGCCTAAACCCTTTGTTCCTGAAATCGAAAAAGTGGAAGAAATGGGAGCCGGTTCAAATAGAACTCGAAGGAATCAGACAAGGAGAGGAAGGCAGCGGAGGGACTTTAAAAGGGATATCCTTCCTGGTTTGACCTCACTCTCCAGGCATGAGGTGACTGAGGACCTCCAGGCATTTGGTGGGTTGATGAGAGCCACAGGCCATTCTTGGAATTCAGGCTTGACAAGAAGGAATGGCACAAGATATGGGGGTGCTCGGGGAAGGCGCCGTACAGTGATTGAATCTTCCCCTACTGCTATTTCAAGCCCAGTTAGCATTCCATTGAAGCAGCAACTAAGTAATATTGAAGCTCGTTTGGAGGACGGAAGCCTAACAGGCTGGGGGAAAACAACTAGACGGCCCCGCAGACAAAGATGCCCTTCTGGTAATCTTCCAACTATTGCATCAACTTGACAATGCAGAGTCAGTTATTATTGTTTCGGGATTTATAGAGAGAAGTAAGATGCATGGGAGCTTGTTTTGTGAGTTTTTGAGATTCTGGCTGCTGGTACCTATGGTTTGGCTTTGTAAATCTCGTTCTGATTTTGTCTTTGGCTTACCGACTTGTATTAGCTAGAAATAATGTCTGATTTCTTGTGGGGAATATAACAGCATCGCTGTGAATATGTGCATTCATCTTTATCAAAAGCTATTATTGCCTTTTCGATTTGTGAATTCTCTCATCACGGCCCGGATGCAAGAATGTGTCCCACAAGATTTGACTCACCTACATAGGGAGCAATTCATTGTCTTGGAACATTTGAGATAGTAAGGTTATATCAGCTGGAAGTACTCAAAAACAATTGGTGTCTCAGCTTTGTGGCTAGGTTGACCTGTCAAGGAAATGATCCAAACTGTTGTGAGCTTATTGTCATATTTACTAACATTATCGTACATAATTCGCATCTGTATTATGTGGTTGTAACATGTGTAGACTCAAAGAGGCTACACGGTTTTTATAGAACAAGTTAGAAGAGAGAGGTGTGTGTCGAAGACAATCTACAATAGTTGCTTTAGATCTTCTAACGTAACTATCAATGAAATGAGTGATGTGGAAAAATGAATTCTTGCAATTGATCCTCGAATTTGCATTTTTTTTACCTTAGACTTGGGTTTCTAGAAGGAAAAGTAGGGATGTCCGTGGGTCAGTTCGGTTCGGATCTCTTCAGAACCGAACTGACCCAAAACTTTCGGGTATCTAATAAATGGAATCGTTTGGTCCAAATATAATTATGGAACCAGTTCGGATTCGGTTCCGTTCGGTTCGGTTCCGGTCGGTTCGGTTCCGTACCATAATTAAAATTTTTAATATATACAGCAACACTATATAAATACAACTAATGACATTTTATTCGTAACTTTTACAAATTAACGTAGCCCAATTCAAAAACATATAAATAACTAGCCGTCCAATAAGATTAATTCAATGCATACAAATACCAAAAAATAGATATTAATATTACAGCAACACTACATAAAA